GGCTTGACTTCAGGAGCTGGATTCCCTCCTCCTGATCATAGCATTTATCTGCTCATAACAATGGCTTTTGCTTCCCTGCTCACTCAAAAGAAATTCCTTCTTCACTGCAGAACTGCCCCTCCTACCACAGGATGTTTAGGGTCCCTGGCTGCAACCCCCAAAGGTCCTAATGGTGCTGGTCGTGGGGGAATCCACACCATTGTGACAACTGAATATGCCCACATGATGCCCAAGGTTTCAGTCCTGGCCACACCCCTTCCACCGTGTCACCGTGCTGGGTTGGTTTCTTCATCTAAAAAATGGCGATGGGGATAACAAACTTGAAAAAGGGTCATGTGAGTGAGGTGTCCAGCATCGGGGGGTGTCCGGCATCGGGGAGTGTCCAGCATCGGGGGGTGTCCGGCATCGGGGGGTGTCCGGCATCGGGGAGGTGTCCGGCATCGGGGGGTGTCCGGCATCGGGGGGTGTCCGGCATCGGGAGTACTTAATAAAGGGTCCCCATTGATACCAGCCGAGGCATAAGCAAACTCCACTGCTCCTATTATCTGCACCTGAAGATTTGCACCTTGCGTGTATGTGGATCCTTTTCCAATTTCTTCTGTATTAAACATTCTCTCCTGTATCAGAAAGTAAGGTTATGGGTTGGAGCTAAAAATCTGCCCTTCGATCCATCCCCCCGATAGAGTGCTTTGCTGGCCATAAGGATGGGCTGCAGACAGCAGCTCCCTTTCTTTCACTGCCGCCCCCAGCTGCTCTCTTCCACTGCGGGCTGTGTGAATCAGGCTCCAACACTTCCACTGTGTGATCCTAGATCAGTGTGTGAACCTCCCAGAGTTTCCGTCTCTGCAGATGGATGTGCTGACAGCCCCTGCCATAGGGCTGAGCTGAAGGGGAAATGAGACAGTGAGGGAAAAGCGAGCCTGGTGCCAGGCATCTGCCAGGCATTCAGCAGTGGCTAGCCATGGTAGCCTGTCCCTAAAGTCCTGGGCACCACGTCCCCACCCCCTCAGTTCCTTCTGGCTTGACTTCAGGAGCTGGATTCCCTCCTCCTGCCAGAAAAATCCAGCTCATACTGCCTAAGGCACAAATTCTCACACCAACCACTAGGTTCTGCCAGGTCCTGGCCAGTCCCAACACCATGAAGCAGGAGGGCAGGCGAATTTGAGCAGAGATTGTTTCTGTTTGGCATCAGCCTCTGCCAATGCCCAGGAAAGCTGGAATGCTCTCCTGCAAGGGTGACATTTCCCCACACGCTAAACATTGTCTTTTTTTTTTTTTTGAGATGGAGTCTTGCTCTGTCGCCCAGACTGGAGTGCAGTGGTGTGATTTCAACTCACTGCAAGCTCCGCCTGCTGGGTTCAAGCGATTCTCCTGCCTCAGCCTCCCAAAGTGCTAGTGCTAGGATTACAGGTGTGTGCCACCACACCTGGCTAGGGCACCACGTCCCCACCCCCTCAGTTCCTTCTGGCTTGACTTCAGGAGCTGGATTCCCTCCTCCTGCCAGAAAAATCCAGCTCATACTGCCTAAGGCACAAATTCTCACACCAACCACTAGGTTCTGCCAGGTCCTGGCCAGTCCCAACACCGTGAAGCAGGAGGGCAGGCGAATTTGAGCAGAGATTGTTTCTGTTTGGCATCAGCCTCTGCCAATGCCCAGGAAAGCTGGAATGCTCTCCTGCAAGGGTGACATTTCCCCACACGCTAAACATTGTCTTTTTTTTTTTTTTTGAGATGGAGTCTTGCTCTGTCGCCCAGACTGGAGTGCAGTGGTGTGATTTCAACTCACTGCAAGCTCCGCCTGCTGGGTTCAAGCGATTCTCCTGCCTCAGCCTCCCAAAGTGCTAGTGCTAGGATTACAGGTGTGAGCCACCACACCTGGCTAGGCTCCTTTTTTTTTTTTTTTTTGGAGACGGAGTCTCGCTCTGTCGCCCAGGCTGGAGTACAGTGGTGTGATCTCAGCTCACTGCAACTTCTGCCTCCTGGGTTCAAGCAATTCTCCTGTCTCAGCCTCCCGAGTAGCTGGGACTACAGGTGTCTACCACCATGCCTGGCTAATTTTTGTATTTTTAGTAGAGATGGGGTTTCACTCTATTGGCCAGGCTGGTGTCGAACTCCTGACCTCAGGTGATCTGCCCACCTCAGCCTCCCAAAGTGCTGGGATTACAGGTGTAAGCCACCATGCCTGGCCAGCTCCATTTACTTCTTGAGGAACTCATGGTTCTCTTTTTAGTCACTTTGGTCACAGAGAGATTATTTAACGTCATTTAATAAAAATAGTAGTGCAAACAGGAAAGTAGCATAAAAATATAGTGTTGCTGTGGAAGGCTGGTGCTTGCTGCTGAGAAGCTGAAGCCAGAGGAGGCCAGGTGTGAGGAAGGAGGATTCTTTAAAGGCAAGGAGAGAGGCCTGCCTTTAAGAGCCGAGAGAGCCACTCATCCATGACCCCCAATACAGAGCTCTGCAGAACTGCTGCCAAACCCCAAACCCCAATGTAAGGGGGTGAGAGAATGAACTCCAGCC